TTTTACTGTAAGATCGTTTTGCGCGGTTGGCTTGCTATATGGATTTGGGAGTGGCTTGAGTTTCGTATTTTGTGGAATATTGTTGAGATTGCAGCCGAAGATACTTAACTGGTGAAGAAATACAATCTAAGTCTTCATGTGTGGGATCATTGGCCATACTCATTAACGTGTTAGTTTTTCATTGTGTTCTATGTGGATGGCTTACTAAGGTCAAAAGTTAACATAAATTAGTTTTTTATTGCTGTCCTACCTCTACAGTACTATTATTTATCAATAACATGTATTGTAGTAATCTATCTCAACAATGAAATTACTCTAATACTATACCGTCGGTGTGGTAAGTTTTAGGGCAGGATGCAAGATCTAGTTTTACGTATGAAACAAGTTTAATGGACGGCAACTGCCTATTGTAGAAACACAAGTGTAGAGGGCCTACAACAGGCAGTTGCCGTCCATTCAACTTAGTTTCATCTTGAATATTCTGCCTAAACAATCTATCAAAGAATAGATTTATGTACTTTGTAAGTAAGTTATATTCTTTCTTTAATGTTAGTTTCTTTAAGACTTGATTAAAATATTTAATATATATATGTTTATTCTACACTTTTTAATTTTTGTTATATCTATTTTCATCATAAATATTATTTTATATTATTAACTTATTGTGTATATTTAGGACTAACCTAAATCTCCTAAGCTAACCGAACCTGATGGGAAATTATAAGGATTACGGCCGAAAATTTCACTTACAGCGAGGGCACGCAAATGATAAACCAATGCATTCTAATTATTATGAGTTTTATTTTATGGTTGTAGCTAATAGTAATGTATATGGTAATTCATATATATTGAATATGAATAATGAAGCATCATTACAAATACATTCTTAAAATATCATACAAATACTCCAATAAAACTCATTATCACGCAGCTTTGTGCTAAAATAGTAACTACTTACAAAAAATAATAATTTTCTTAACAACTTGTTATCACCCCTGATAATATACACAATTTCAAAACTAAAACGAAAAACACTCAAAAAGACATATTACAATAGTTTAATATCATTGAACGAGCGCCATCTCTCGAAATGTTTAACAACCACAAATATATAAATCAGCCAATAATGTTTTACTAACACTTTTTCATTTCAACGATGCATAGGTTGACTCGAACTAATAAACTAATTCTCCCACCTAGTTGCTGCTGCACAGAAAGACTCCCAAACCACAATGTATGTTATTTTGATATTTTGAAAAACATAAAGTCAAGGCTTTGGCCAACAACTGGCGTCGTAACGATAGTAAATAACAGTCTATAAACGTAATGTGAACAGTATATATATATATATATATATTATAATAGTAAATTTGGTACTTTCAGTTTCTCACGAACTAATCATATACATTCCTTGTATCACGACAAAAAAAGAAAGTAAATAATATCGACGAAACCCATATGATTTTACAGAAAGAAAATAACACACCAGAGAAAATCATAAGCAGGTAATTTCCCCAGTCTCTCTCTTCTACTGGACTGAGCGACATATCGAGGTTAACGTGTCGAGCTGTGGATCCATGACTTGCATCCCATTACCGCAAAAGAAAAGAAATCACACTCCACACTCTAGAGCCGTGGGTGCGTCGTAAGAGTAATGCTAAAATCTCATTACTCGCATAGAGTAACCTAAGGATTAGTAGTACGTGTTGACCAGCTATTTTCACTCTAGTCTAATAGTTTAAGTTTGTGAATGACTATGTTCAGATAGCATTTTGCAGCATTGTAAGTGTGGTACAGGCTAGTACCACTTTTCGAAATCTCTGTATTTTCAGTGATTTCTATTTCAACGTAGAAGTTTACTCAAGTAAACAATCTAACTTACACATATTTTAAATATGTCCGACACCTTGTTCGCTAATTAGCCCATTAACCACGTTCTCTTGCAGGAAAAATAGCTTTTGACGTCCCAGGGTATAACGTTGCCTCTTCTGTAAGCGAATCGGATAGTGGCCATAGACTTCCCCGCTCTTGCACTAAAATCACAGTGGACGAAGGTCAGTGCACGAAGAGTGTTCCATGAGCAACTTGGCTTTGATGTTGTTTTTACATTTTGTATATAAAGCCAGGCTTTCCCATTGTAATGATAACTCGCTTTTGACTTAGCTTTTAGCCTCACTTAAATATATTGCTAGATAAGGTCTTCTTGTTGTGAATACTGACTTTTTCGCGATAAATTTTTGTTGTACACTGTTTTTTCTTTGGATTTATTTTGACTTACTTTATTTATCTTACAGGGGTCTCACAATGGAATGGTAAGAGTGATCTATTAAAAATTTCTCCACCCTTCCCTTACCAGTTTAACACTTTCACCATAGATACTTGAACTTGTTTGTGTTGTGATTGTTTTCATACATTAAAGACTCAGGTTTCTATACTATTGTGTTTTGTCTCCTTCTGTGTGAGGGACTTGGTCGGAGTTCACAGAGTAACCTACTCCGTTTCTTAATGTTCGTCTGACCTTTTGTTAGTACGTCTTACACATTACCCTGCGGGAAACCCGCGTGCTAGATTATACCACACCCGAAAAAATCCAAACTCTTCTAACAGTCATAACATATATAAGTCGGTAGACATACATTATCATATAATTGCCTTTCTTTATCAGGACATATAAATATAACCAAAAATCATATGATGTTTGATTTGGTAATAGATGGCTGGATTGTTTGCATTATAGGTATGCTTAATCACCAACTGTGATTATAAGATTCTACAGTGTTTCTAAAAAGTTGCAGGATACGCAGAAGCTGATCAAAAAGGGTCTATTTGAACTCAACCCTATGGACCAACCCGATCTAGAGTGCTACACATGGATACCTGTTTATATACAGTTAGGTATACAGAGACACAGGTAACTCAGTATGGTCACATATATTTACTGAGAATACCATAGTCTTTAACACACCTACTCGAGTGAAATGATAGAAACACACAGAAAACGGTTTATAGGAACTTTTTGCTTAAAGTAGATCATCCAAATGAGGTTAATTTTTCTGCTTTCTGATATGTTTAATAAAATGTATCCACATAAAACCACGTTAGTGCCTTATGCTTGCTTGCTAACATAAACAAAATCATCAGTCGAATTTTGGGAAAAAAAACACGTTAGTGCCTTAT